ATGTTTTAAAAGGATAAATCAACGAACTAAATTAACTACATGGCCATTTTCCATGGCTCTATAACTATGTTATTTTTTGATCTTCTGCATCTTGTTGATCCCGCTTCTTGGTGATTTTTGTTGTGGGATTCCAAGTGGTTAAACCAGCAGGGCGCTTGGCCAAGGAACTGGTTTATAATGAACGTCCATACCAGCCGATTCATCTACTAAGTACGTGGTTAAAATATGTTAAAATTCAGCCTGTCATGTATGTGCGCGTTCAGATTGAGACTTAGAGGTATTTTGGAACACAGAATGTATAGTACTATTGACACTACCCGTTTTGGGAGAAGGCAAACAAAACGGCAGTTACATCATTTCACACGGAGAATGCCAAAATCGTCTCACATTTTTTTGAAGAGCTCGTTGAGCCATGGCTCTTAGATATTCCTTTTCAAAGCTTTGTCGTGGATATGATTAGACTCTTTTGGTCAAAATAAACAAAACTCTAGAAATGAATTGGATAAACAAAACTGTGGCTAAACATTGGGTAGACAAAGTAGGATTGTCTGGTGTAGTATCGCAAGATCCAGTGGTTAATCATGAATTCCCCACATCAAATGGCCATCAATTCCTATAGTTGCGGATTAATTGCCATGGTAATCTCCCGAATATGTTTTCCCACTTTCGACCTTATTATATAGCTGCATATCCCATTCAATCATCAAATGTGTCCCAATTGCATGTGGTTTAATTCTTGATCTCATGAAAAAAATCATTAAAACAACCCTCTGGTTATGACTAACAGTTCGCCATGGAAGCCAGAGCCCTAATCGAAATAGATGGTTTACCTATTAATTAATAGCATGCTGGATCTTTCCATGGCTAGCCCTGGCAATGTCATAACCAGATGCTACAGAAAAATCTGAGGATCCCATGGCAACGCGTCGCGTTGCGCCAAGCCTGTGGGGCTTGTGGGGCAAGCGCGGCGTCCAGCGGCCTTGGAGAGTCACAAAAAATGGTGGCCGAAAAATACGGCGACTTCAATGGTACCGTTGGGATTTCCCTCTGGGGTAACTGAAGTTTTCATGGGAAAATCACAGGAAAAGAATGGGAAAACCATAGGAAATTGGAGGTTTACCCCCTGGTAAACGTTTACATAGTTACATAACGAACTGGAAAATCACCATGCTATGAACATGGATAGTCATCAACTATTTCGACTGGGCCATGGCTTCAATAGCTAACTGTAAACGTTTACCAGAGGGTATCAGTAGTGAGACTATGTTTGAATAATGAGATAATGGGAAATCCTTGGGATTAAAGCGGCTGATGATGGGAAAATGGGAAATCCTTTCATCAATGATCTCATTTCATGGGATGAGACTAAGTCTCCTTTCAAAACAAAAACAATTTCCAGTAGTGTGAACTTCATATAGGGACTTTTATATGGGGTGGGACTTCAATGGACACTTGGAATGGTACTTTCAAAGGTAACAAAGATCTCCAACGGAGCTCATTCACCACACGGTCAGATCAGGTCACCTTCGAAGGGAACAGGGTCGCCTGGAGTGCTACAGCACCAAAGAAAAGCCGCGCCAAGAAGAGTAGAACTGTTGATTGCCTTTTTGGTTGGCTGAGCCATGTTGAGCCCTACCCCCTGAAAAATATGAATCAGATTGGATCATCATCCCAACTATTGGGGAAAATTAATTCATTCATGTTCCAAACCACCAACCAGATTGGTTCTGAATGTGTGATATGTGTTTGAAAATCTTTTCCACAGCAAATGAAGTGGCAAGCAGATCACCTGGTGTGAAAGGAAAAGCAGAAAGACACTGACTTGACCCACAAACAAATTGGAAGGGTATTGTCCATTCCGTTTAGTAATTAATAAACATCTGCTCAAAGGAACCCAATAATTATTGATTAATAAATGATTATAAATTATAACCCATAAGAACTAAATATAGCTAAAATTCCAGCACGGAATCATTCATGTATTAACAAAAAAGTACTGATCCCACAAATTCACGCGGCTTTCTTGCTGAGTCTGAGGGTTTTTTTTTGGGTTTGCTGCTAACAAACCAGCAACAAAGGAGATTGGGAAGATCCACTCACCAAAACAAGATGGATACGGTAAGGAGCCTTCTCCCCGCATTGGGCTTTGCAATCCAAGGTATTTTGTTGAGGGGTTGTGCAGCAAGCAGAGTCCCGTAAATACAGGGACTCTGCATCTTTCAAGAGTGGAGTATTGCCACAAAAAGGGTAATGTAATGTTGAAAACATGAGTGTATCATGCACAACATGCAATATTTCTCACAAAGTGAGGGAGTAGTTTTAAACAGAAGTACTGCACCCCTCCGGATAATGCATCAATGATGTTGGAAAATGTCTAGTTTCAAACTTAGAAGTCTTGAAGAAGTGCATTTCTGAAAACAAAAACAGTTAATAGCTTTTTACACATCCAAACATGAGCAGCATGCCTTCAACAAATACAGTTTTCGCTGCAGAAAATGCAGACTTAGTTGCCGGATAACACAAATATTCCTGTTGAAGACCACACAGGATTCTGTTGAAGAACGAGCATCTCTGTGGATAGTGCAGTAACTTTGTGAATATTGTGGTAATACGTTCGAAAGTACAACGCTGAATTCCTCCAAAGAAGCAAACATAGTAATGTGTCTGCATTTATAATCTATGTCATGTTCAACTAACACTAAGAAGTGCACTCTCACAGCGTCCTGGCCTGAAACACTATGTTTGCAGCTGTATATACATCGATATATACTCTCGGTGACCCTTAAAATTCCAGTGTGCAACAAACAGGAAGTGATCAACTGTACTCGACCATCCCCAAATGGTTCTTGTTTATGACCGACATTGGGTTTCCGACATTGGATATATCTAAGTTTCCACGCTTCGGATATGCCCAAGGTGCCTATTTTTTGTGCAGCTTGCAGGGATTGCTTGGTGTCAATTGGTTGGTGGTTTAACCATCAAACCATGAATAAATATGACTCTGATGTAGTATGTTTAACATGTTTTAACCATTGAATGCTGGAGGATTTTTTTTGATGGGAACATAACCACATGAAGATATGGGAATTTCTGGATGTGTCCAAACATGGGGAAATTAATGGAAATTATCCTTTAATGATGGCCATTGCCATGTCGGGAACATGATGAACCATAAACTTTCGTTTTGTTGCCTATTTTGAGATAAACCATAGGAAAACAAACCATAGGAAAACCATAGGAAAACCTAAAACCATAGGAAATGGTGATTTAACCAGCAACAATGGAGATTTATAGAATTATAATTGGGGTAAAACCATCACAGACCAACCACGATTGGGAATGGTAAACATCCCACCTATAAAAAAATGGTGAAATTGGTGGATGGTTTATGACATTGTTTTACCCACATGATTTGGGCTAGGTTTTTGGATGATGTTAGCTTTTTGTTTTAACATTCATCAGGCAGCTAAGATGGTGACTCCGCTTTTATGGCCAGGTTAGAGAAAAACGTGATTGAAAAACCAGTTGTTCTGCTTAAGTCGTGACATGTTCCCAGTTGCAGCCGGTGATTCATGTCTCAGCCGTTTTTTTTATCAGAAAAACATGATGTTTATCACATCAGCGGCTGGGAATGTCTAATGTTCCGGGGATATGACACCATCCACTTACTACGTTTGAGGACCACCGTTATCCCAGATACATAACGGCCGCCGGTAAACGTTAACAAAAAACTGATGGGAAAATCACCATGCTATTATTGGATAAATCAATAAATCAACTATTTCGACTGGGCCGTGGCTTCCAGTTCGCAAACTGTAAACGTTTACTGGAAGGTACCCATCGCCACAAAGGAAGCTAGCCATGGCCATAGTGGCCCCATCGCCACTATGGCCGCTACACTATGCTACACTCATTCAGCTGAGCTGAGCGACTTCATGGCATTGTCTCAAAAGTTTTCGAGGTACCCTCTGGTAAACCAACATAACTATGGAAAATCACCATTTTTAATGGGACAACTCACTATAAATGGCCATTTTCAATAGCTATGTTAAATTACCAGAGGGTAAACTTTGATAGACTTAGGCAATGCACAAGTCGTCAGTATCTTTTTCCTTGTAAAAAGTTTTGTCTCAACGTGTTTATTTCATTTGCAGTAAGTATGTTGGAAGTTCATGGCAGTACCAGAGTCCCTATAGCACATCCCAATTCATACCCGGGATTACAGCCATCTACAATCATGTGTATTATGTATTATATACATAGTGGTAAACCCAACAATAAGCTGCTTCTAATATTTCCATAGATGCCTAGTTTAAAAATGGAAGTTTTGTGATCTTGAGTTTACCACATTTCATTAGAATCAAGCAATTCATCATAATTGCTGGGTAAATGTTAGGTTAGCTAGGCAAACTGCATTAATTCTATTATTAGGTTACTCTGGTAAACTAACATAACTATGGAAAATCACAACTTTAAGAGGTAATTAAATCATAAATCAGCAATTTCTATGGTTCATTTTCAATAGCAAACTGTTGGTTTACCATAAATTGCCCCGGTCACCAGGTTCCACGTCATCTGCCAAACCTTTTTCCGAAAGCCGCTCCTTCCGTTCTCGTGTCCTCATCAACAGATCGACGCGATGTCGTCCGAGACACCGTGCGGCGGGGGCAAGTGCCAGGGGGCGACTCAGCTGATGACAACAAGGATTTGGGCATACCCTGACTGACCGGGTTTCACAATGAGTTATACCCCGCAAAAAGAATGTCATTTGAATAAAGGTAATACAGGGAAACAAACCTACTATTCACTTCTAATAACAGGCATTTTAACTTATGTTTTTGTTGTGCTTTTCAGAATTGGGACGGGGAAATTGCCTGAACATGAAAACAACCATTTGGTCCGTTCAGTCAAAAACAAAATTGATGTATACAAACATCCAACAATGTCGATTCCCTTGAAATCTTTGCGGACACATCCTACACTTGCATCAATCAGAATAACACTGTCCATGACAAGAAATGATCTGCGAGTCCCCTGGCAGCCCCTGCGTCCATGGGATTGCTATCAAAAATATCAGGCTTTTTCTATTCAAATAACCAACCATCAACTCACATTTCCTTCCCGTCGCCACCTGAAGCAGGGCCAGGGGGGTTAACATCTCTAACGCAAGGAGGACAAACTTCGGCTAGCAGCAGTCATGGGTCTGGACCTACAATGTGGGAACCCCTAGATAGCTAAGTTAGTTTATGACTTCAATAACTAATATGTATAGCTACAGTTAATGGGTCTATAAACCAACAAGACTGGGGGGCCCCACATTGTACGAGAATTTGACCTCTTGAGTTAAAATCCAAAGGCCACCCATTCAGAGGTGATGTGTGTTTGGGATCAGATTATCCTAGTTGCGTACCCTGCATGTTATTGATTAATCATATACCCCTATTGATACAGCTAATCACCACTCCCGTATTTGATGATATCTTTGAATTGTGAAAAAACTAAATGACATAGCTCATTGACTACTTGATGTTGCATTTCTTTGCTGCAATTATTGAAAACAATGGTGAATTATCCGGCTGATCTAATGTCATTTTAAGAGGATTCCGCCTACCCTCGATGCTGACGTAAAGTGGGGACGTCGTTCAGGGTGAATATTCTTGGGTTCACGTAATAATTACCCCATCCGTGCAAAACACCAAAATGAATTACTGGTTGGTGGTTTCAACCTACCCCTCTGAAAAATGATGGAGTTCATCATTGGGATGATGAAATTCCCAACAAAAAAATGGGAACTTCAAATATGTTCCAAAACACCAAGCAGTTTTTTCAGGGGAAGGGATCCATTATAGTTGTTGAGTAATAGAAACCATAATTAGTGATATCCTCTTTAGTATCCCATGGAAAAAAACAATTGTTGATGTGGGAAACATAAAATCGAGTTCTACCATCCGTCGGATTTATGTGTCTTCGGCATCTTTTTGCGGGTTGCTGTGTATACATATATATGTATATATATGTGTGTGTATAGTGGATAATAATGTTGTTAATAATCATAATAAGAATAATCATAAGAATATTGGCTATATATATACATATATATATATATCCCATTATATCCTCATGATATCCCTATTTTTGATGGCAAAATCCGCATCAAAAAACACCCCAAAAACGCGCATCACATCATGACCCGCGTCGCGTGGCCTACACCGCGGAGGCTCCACTGATAATCTCACAGAGCTCCGTGGTAATCTTGGCCTGGCGGCCAGGCGGTCAGCCTGGTACTGGTTGATGAACAACTGTCAATTTAGACCTCCAAAATTTATAGATAATATATGGGATATATTGTTGATAATATATAGTGATGATTTATATCAATCAACAGTGATGATAATATGTCAATTGTCCAAAAATGCATATTAGTGATGATTTAATATGATTTCTAGATAATGTGATTTTCAATATCAATCAACTAAATCTATAGTCAAATAGATATATAATATATTATACACTTTTTTAACAGGCTACAGTTATGGCCATTTACTAGTTATAATTGGTTGTTTCTATGGGATTATACATTCTATAATTATAAATGGGGTTATAAGTACTTATAAGTGGTAAAGGGCCATAACCGTAATCCTGGTGGTATAACCCCTGGGAGCCATGGTGCTGGTATATATATGCTAACATGACTGGGGTATATTGATGGGATCCATGTTACCATATATAGCATACATGGATCCTATGGGTAATGGTTGATTCAAAATGGTCTAGTTGGGATTGAAGTACCTAAAAAAACTATTTCAAAATCCAATCAATCCCAATTAAATTAGTAGTCTATAATAATATATAATAATTATAGACTACTAATTTAATTGGAATTGATTGGATTTGGTGGGATTTCACGGATTTAAGCCCTCCAAAAATATGGAACCCATATCTATGGCCATATCCAATCTGAAAATCATCTTCCATACATTTCCTAATTCAGCCTAAAGCCTTGGTTTTGCACATAATTGCTGATAAATCCGCCATCTTTCCTTCATAAATCCACCGTCCTACAAACATGTCACTCAGAGGTCCGAAATAAATCACCTGGTGTCCAAAAACTCATGGGCCCGTCAATAATGTCCTTTTGGTAAAAATAGAGGGGCCGGTTTGGTATACCATCTATCATCATTTACCTGTTGTTAAAGGGGTTTCTTCAAACCCCTCTATTAATCAACCAACCAATGGGAAAAGGACATCTATGGGGCCCGTGCGCTGGGCTTTGCCGAGTACAATGTACGTGTTCGCTGAGTAAATCCGCTGGGATGTACTCCACTTTCTTGTATAACGAGTGGTACCAATCATTGATTCATGTTTTCCTCGTCAATCCCAGTTGTTGGCTGAAATTGATTCCCATTGAAGCATTGCTTTCCCGTTTTTACAGCGCTTTTATAGTACTTTATACTGCTTGATTGATAGGGATTACCCTCTGGTAATTTAACATAGCTATTGAAAATGGCCATTTTCAATGGGAAAATCCACTATGAATGGCCATTTTCAATAGCTATGTTAGTCATTACCAAAGGGTACTGGATTCCCACAATGGTTGATGATCTCCAAGACCAGACGCCCCAAAATTGATAACCAACCAGTGGCACTTGGTCACGACTCTTGGAAGTGCAGTTAGGCAGTTCCATTCATAAGTATATAATACTAAATACACAACCATAGTATACATTAGTATACTATATTATACCCCAGTTTTATATGGGATATACCCAGTTATATTAGATTTGCTTAAGCGCCCCCCCAAAAAAAAACTTATAGACTCCCCAAATGGTGAATGGTCCATTGGGAAGATACATGAAAAAAAACGTATATCACCTTAAACAAACCCAGGTGAGGGGTTATTTTATGTTATTTTCACCACGGATCCAACACAAAAAATCCTGGGATGCGAAGTTCATAACTGGGATATCTGGGGATGGGTCAAAACCCTGGTACCTAGTGAACCCCAAAATCCGCCCACACCGCTTTGGCGGTGAAGGCGTGCTTATTGGGGGGCAACAGCAACACTAAATGCTCAATGACATTTGTTAATATAGCAGTCGCTATGTCAGCTTTAGCTGGGGGGGGGGCCAAAAACGGTTTCGCACCGAGACCAGAATACGGTGGTGTTTTCGACATTTTTCGAGGATTTTTGGGTGTCTGAGCGCAAGAGGGTATTGAAATGGAATTTTGGGTCATTTTGGTAGCTTTCCGGCAATGGAAAAACGGCCAAAAATGAAAAAAACATTGTACATAGCAAGATTTTGCAGGGTTTTTGGATGCCAGAGCATTGAAAACACTGCAAAAACAAGTGTTTTGGACTGACGTTATAGCAAAAAACGTGTAAATTACCGTATGCTTGACTGGAAACATTACAAAAACACTGTCAAAAGCAATGTTTTGAAGGATTTACTGCCTTTATGGCAAAAAACGTGTAAATTACCGTCTGTTTGACTGGAAACATTGGAAAAACACTGTCAAAAACAATGTTTTGGAAGGATTTCTTGTGTGTATGTTGGAGTTGGCTACCGGCATTGGCACATGGAAAAATTGAAGAAAACATTGTAAATAGCGGTATTTTCAACGGTTGGGGAGATAAGGGAATTGGAAGCATTGTCGAACATGATGTTTTCGACCGGTTTTATGGCGACAAAAGTGTAAAGTACCGTGCTTTGAAGGAAACCATTGCAAAAACATGGAAACACATTCAAAGAACACGGGATTTGGGGACTATCTAGGCGTCGTTGTCTAGCTATTTGAAAGTCCGCAGGTTGGAGAGCCTCCAAGGGAGGGAAAAGTGAAAATTCCATAGCTTGGGAAGCTGTCACGGCGGGGAAAAGTGAAAATTCCCTAGCTTGGGAAGCCAGTACGGGGGGGAAAAGTGAAAATTCCCTAGCTTGGAGAGCCCCCACGGGGGGGAAAAGTGAAAATTCCCTAGCTTGGGGAGCCCCCACGGGAGGGAAAAGTGAAAATTCCCTAGCTTGGGGAGCCCCCACGGGGGGGAAAAGTGAAAATTCCCTAGCTTGGGAGCCGCCACGGGGGAGAAAAGTGAAAATTCCCTAGCTTGGGGAGCCCCCACCGGGGGGGGAAAGTGAAAATTCTTAGCTTGGGGAGCCCCCACGGGGGAAAACCACCCTTAGCCCCTCTCACGGACCGAAATAAACCTGCGGTGTGGGCGGCCACCCCACGCGAAGCGGGGTGAATAGCTGGCAAATGGATGTTCATCCCACTAAAAATGGTATTAATAGGTATTGATCCATCCCCATATCTGTTGCAATTCCCCCAGTTTCAGAGGGGGTATGTTCATCATTGATCCGAAGCCACGAAGAGACATTCGCAGAGACAGTCGCGCCTGTCGCGCGCGATTGTACTGCAACTCGACCTTCCCATACATCTCCTTGGGATTGCTTCGAAGCTCGGAGCCATGAACATCAGAAACCATTGGGTAAAATATAATATTTCACTAACCTGAATCTTGCGGCCATAAAAGGGGATGATTTCCCTAAAATAAACCATGATTCCAGTGAGGGAGAACAGTGAGGTCGTTATAATTTACCCATATATATATAAAAATATATAAATATACCATCTCCCCAAATCCTGTAGTTACCTCCAAAATTGTAGATGTACCCGCAGTTTACCATTGAACATGGCCCAGTCAAAATAGTTGATTTACCCATTTTCATAGCATGGTGATTTTCCATAGCAAACTAATGCAAACGGTAAACGTTTACCAGAGGCTGTCCCCATTCATTGCATGGTGATTTTCCATAGCAAACTAAAAGACTGCAAACGAGCGAAGGGTTGAACAAACGGATCATCACATGGTGTTGGCCCTAAGGAAACAAACTTCGCTATCCACTGGCATTTTGGTTTCGGTAAGACCCAGCTTCATATGTATATATATATATGCATACAGCAACCCAAACAAGATGGAGAACATAGAATTCTACCCCAATAGTGGTAAATAATCGTTCTATCTTGTCGGGGATTAAACAAATATCCATCACATATATATATTATAGCATAATACATATATATATATATATATAATGCATCTATAAATTAAATTAATATAATATAATATATATAATACGAGAAACAATAATTAAACACAGTCAACATATGTACAACTCCTTATTTACATTTACATCTTCTTCAGTGGCTTCCATCCTAATATCCCTACAGAACAAATAAGCGCAGCATGTCAATGGAAAAAATGGAGGTACGTTCGTACCATATGTTTGGCCATATTTTGTGGGGATATTCCCTGAAATTTAGCCTTAAAACATAGGCCTTTTTTCTATGGTAGGTACCTCCAATCAATCGGTTCCTTTTCGTCATGGCCATTGATATAGCGTTATATCCCATTTATAGGTGCATTTTATGATAGGTAAATCATCATAAATCCTCTAAAAATGGACCATTTTCCATAGCTATGTTCCTAAAATCATCATTAATCAGATAATTAAGCAACAGCCTTATCCACCAAGCCACACCAGCGTTCTTGCTGGCATTCTCCATGGCATTCATCCGCTGGGCCGTCTCTGTCCTGACTCTTGACCGGGGATTCAACATGTCGCCAGGTGATCCCCCCAATAATTGGGTTGGTGGTTTGGTGATTGCTTCTCCAAGAGTCTCTAATTGGAGAAGAGTATTGACTTATTAACTTATTGTTGTGGTTATCTAACCAACCACCACTCTTATTAAGTCTCCAAGAGTCTCTTATTGTAGGTGGTCAAGATTCTCTCTTATTAACTTGTTGTTGTGGTTGGTTAACCGGGCTCTTCATATCAGTTCATCTCCAACAGCCAAATTGGTCAGGCAGGGGGTAGTTGAATCATGTTTCCCTATGATCTACAATGTGGGGCCCCCAAACGATAGCTAAGTTGGTGCAAATAACTTCAATAATTATGAATTATGATACCTATTAAACTATAGTATTCATATGTATTCATGGGGTTTATAAACCAACATTCACATCACTGGGGGGGCCACATTCTATTAGCTATACTAATCTCATTGATAGATTAAGAAATTGATTGTCCATTATCACCATTTATGTATTAAATGGTAATTATATTCCATTAATTCCATTAATTTCATATACTCCATCTACATTCCCTATGAAAATTCCATAAATTTCCCTATGATCCACGGGTCATTCACGGGTCGTGGCCGCTTGGCCCTTCCGCCCTTCTTCGACGCTTCCAAGGTGCGTGACGCTTTGAATGAAACTTCCATAAATGACCTCGCGACAGGGCAGCTGGAGATGCTGGAGAAATGGGACTGGGGAGTGGAGAATTTTTCCATCACCTACCTCAACCATAAAAAAAAGTAGCTTATATGTATATATCAATATGTATATATCAATATGTATATATATATATTGAAAGGAATCCTTAACATTAATTGCCCTGTCTTAGAGAGGTTCAATATTATGTATATATATATATATATCTTAGATATAGATATGTATAATATAACTGAGGATATACCATATATAAATGGGTTACAATACTTCGACCCAAATACTCAAGCTGTTGTGACTAGTTTCCCTTTCAATCTCTCACAATGCAGCAGAATTGGTCTTCACCCTGCAAGATGTTGGTCATGGCGTAAATGCAATAATGACCATATACAATATACATACCCTCAGCTACTTGGGGGGGGTGGGTTACTTCTATGTACAGTAGACCCTAAACGTGGGGTCTAAAAGGTTGTTTGACCAGGGGGAATGGAAAAATAATTTCGTTCATCTAGACCTTTGGGCTGGTCCAGTATTTAAGGTCTACTATGGTTTTCCCACTGCCTCTACATATGCTCCAAAAAGTCCAACTTTTCATCTGCGCCAAATGCATGACATGTCTGCATATTTTTGCATGCGCCGCTGGTGAGCATTTTGCAATCCCAAGTGAAAAGACACCGCAGTCTGATCCCCATTCTATGTCATCCTACCGGGTCAGGGACACAACAAAAAACAGGTGGCTCAAAACTGTTCCAAATTGCTTTCAAAAAATGGAGGTAGCTCAAAACTGTTCCAAATGGTTTTCAAAAAAATGGCTTTCAAGTAGATCAGTCCGACCCTGAATTATCAGACTCCTCAGCCTGATCATCTTCCTGACAGTCCCTGGTATGATTCAAGTCCAGACCCTTCGATTTATTTTTCCATAGTTCCTGTTAAGGAGTTAGGTGTTGTAAAGGGTCTGAAAAGGTTTGTGTGTTTTTACAAGGACACAGAGGTCAAGATACGCTGGGTGAAAAACATTTTAGACCCTATGCTTGGTTTGCTGGGCTTTGATGTGGTTGAAGGTTGTGAAATCATTTGCAGAAAGCATTGGTTACTCAAGGTGATGCTTAAAAGATCTTGAAAGTATCAACATGAGACATTCCATGTTGTTCACATTTGTTGACAGTGTTCACCTAAATTAGTGATTTTTTTGAAGTCGATTTTTTTGAAGTCATTTTGCTAACCGGGGTCTCCTTTGGTTTACTTTGGGATGTGGTGTTCAGATGCCTGTGGGGCCCTGATTGGATTTGAAGTTAGACCTTGGATGCACACAGAATATGTTGTTGACTATCATTTTGGTGTGCGCAGCCATGTGTGTGGCGAGGTAATGTCCAGATGTATTTACCCACCTGTGGGGTCTTGAATGCTTTGCCTTGGCGCTCTTTTATGTGATAAAGCTGTGCCCCTGGTATGATTCAAGTCCAGACCCTTCGATCTATTTTTTCCATAGTTCCTGTTAAGGAGTTAGGTGCTGTAAAGGGTCTGAAAAGGTTTGTGTGCTTTTACAAGGACACAGAGGTCAAGATATGCTGGGTGAAAAACATTTTAGACCCTATGCTTCGTTGTTTGCTGGGCTTTGATGTGGTTGAAGGTTGTGAAATCATTTGCAGAAAGCATTGGTTACTCAAGGTGATGCTTAAAAGATCTTGAAAGTATCAGCATGAGACATTCCATGTTGTTCACATTTGTTGACGGTGTTCACCTAAATTAGTGATTTTTTTGAAGTCAATTTTTTTTGAAGTCATTTTGCTAACCGGGGTCTCCTTTGGTTTACTTTGGGATGTGGTGTGCCTTGGCGCTCTTTTATGTGGTAAAGCTGTGCCCCTGGTATGATTCAAGTTCAGACCCTTCGATCTATTTTTTCCATAGTTCCTGTTAAGGAGTTAGGTGCTGTAAAGGGTCTGAAAAGGTTTGTGCGCTTTTACAAGGACACAGAGGTCAAGATACGCTGGGTGAAAAACATTTTAGACCCTATGCTTCGTTGTTTGCTGGGCTTTGATGTGGTTGAAGGTTGTGAAATCATTTGCAGAAAGCATTGGTTACTCAAGGTGATGCTTGAAAGATCTTGAAAGTATCAACATGAGACATTCCATGTTGTTCACATTTGTTGACGGTGTTCACCTAAATTAGTGATTTTTTTGAAGTCGATTTTTTTGAAGTCATTTTGCTAACCGGGGTCTCCTTTGGTTTACTTTGGGATGTGGTGTTCAGATGCCTGTGGGGCCCTGATTGGATTTGAAGTTAGACCTTGGATGCACACAGAATATGTTGTTGACTATCATTTTGGTGTGCCCAGCCATGTGTGTGGTGAGGTAATGTCCAGATGTATTTACCAACCTGTGGGGTCTTGAATGCTTTGCCTTGGCGCTCTTTTATGTGATAAAGCTGTGCCCCTGGTATGATTCAAGTCCAGACCCCTCAAGCAGTCGATCTAATTTTTGTTGGCCCTGATTTCCTTGAATTTGGCAGGAGTCACAACGTGCCATGGTGTGGTTGAAGAAAGAGATGCCCCCGAAGGAGGAGAAGCGCGGGACCAACCGATTTTGAAAACTAAAGGATGCCATGGATGCCATGGATGCCATGGATGATGATAGTTTTGAAAAGACCTATTCGGAAACTAAACATATTCCGTATCATATTTCAGAACCATCCAGAAACTCTCTTTCAGAATCCCTTTATTTTTGCTTCCAATCTGTGTTGCTAGGGATTTGGGGTGAACCAAAAAAAATATGGCTTCCTGACAGTAGGGCCCCAGAATGCTATGAGTTTATATTTCATTTTTTGCTAGCTTCAAAACCTCCAAATTCCAAGGGTCTAGAATGGTACCACTGGGAAGGGTCTACAATGCTCTAATTATCAGTCTAGACCTCTAGACCCTAGCCCCTCCAGGGGGGGGCCTTCTAGATTCTAGACCTTAAGTAGTTGAGGGTATCAATATACCTACTCTCTGGTAATGACTAACTTAGCTATTGAAAATGGCCATAGAAATAGCTGATTTACCCATTGAACATGGTGATTTTCCATAGTTATGTAAACGTTTACCAAAGGGTATTTCTACCAGTAGGTGACGGGTGGATATAATAACATATCAAAACACAAGTGCCATGATTGAGTTTTCCAAATTACTCTAAGCAACTTTCACATGGTCGTAGATAGCCTACAAAACAAAAAAAACAATCCCGCTGGTAACGCTTCCATTCATCGCCAGTTGGGGTTGTATGATATCCATATATATATATCCATCATTTTGCATAAGAATTCACTAAGTATCCCAAGTTGTGTTGGTAAATCTCCGTCTCAAAGTACAAATCTCTACCCGTTCATCGTTTCCAATCGCGTTGGGATGGCCACATCTTTTGCCGCCAAGGAGCACAGCCGTAGTAAAACTCATGCAGGTCTTGCCAAACCTGCCGGCTTTGGCGCGGATGGCTGAGTTTATGGGAAATCCCCAAAATCCGAATGTAAAATGGATGATACCCGGCCTGGTAAACATACAAAAAACTATGGAACATATTGGAAAGATCCACAATCTTTAACAAGTCAATCAACTATTTCTATGGGCTATTTTCAATATCTATATATATTAAATTACCAGAGGGTTTTTCTAAGGGTAGCCCCATGACGAAACGGAAACCTCCATGTCACCATGGTCCCGGCGACAGATCCCACCGAAACCGAGACGACCCGTTGATATTTTGGTCCCAAGATTTAGATTTATACCATATTATAACCATTATTCCAATGATCATCTACTAAGAATATAGTATAATGTTGGGTAATCATATTCTGGTTGGTGGTACAAATGGTGATTAATGGTGATTAATGGTGATTAATGGTGATTAATGGTGATTTAATAGGGAGATTAATGGTGATTAATGGTGATTGATGGTGATTAATGGTGATTGATGGTGATTAATGGTGATTAATGGTGATTAATGGTGATTTAATAGGGAGATTAATGGTGATTAATGGTGATTTAATGGTGATTTAATGGTGATTAATGGTGATTAATGGTGATTTAATAGGGAGATTAATGGTGGTAAATGATGGTTAATTATATAACTGGTTGGTGGTACAAAATCAATGTGTCAAGGCGGTGCCTTGAAGTCATATGGCTTACCAGTGAAAATGCGGATGATGACTGGTTGGTGGTATACCTACCCCTCTGAAAAATGATGGAGTTCGTCAGTTGGGATGATGAAATTCCCAACAAAATGGAAAATAACTATTTTTGAATGAGTAAATCCACTATTTCTATGGGCCATTTTCAATAGCTATGTTAGTTTAAAACATGTTCCAAACCACCAACCAGTATATTTGGAGAACATCAGTCCTGGAACTCTAAGAGGAGTGGTTGCGCATTGATCGGCAGGCACATAGGTGATTCCCAGCGTTTCACCAAAGATTCCATTTGGATCTTCACCAACATCCCCAAACATCTACTGTGATTTGGGTATGGGTCACTGTGATGACTGGGTACCTCTAAATGGTCCCCTCGATCTGAAGTTGTGATCGAAAAGTGGTGCGTATCTGTAAACTCGAAACCCACTAAACCGAGTGTTGGTCATGCTTTTCCCCATCAAAATGTTGTTTGTTTTTGGTGTATACCCTATTTTCAGACACTCCCATATCCATCATCACTTTGTATCTTTTTGTCAAATCATATAAAACCCTCAAACACTGCTTAAGTTTAAAACCCATTAAAAGAACATATGTTTTTATCAGCCCCATTGGAGCCGCTTCGCTGCTTCAGCACCCCCACCCGCCTCATAAATGGAGGGCTCAAAGGAGTAGACGTCCATCCTTTGGAGGTCAAGGTCCGACATGGTCGAGAACCAGATATTTTTTTGCCTGGATGAAAATAGTTAAACTATTATAACATACAATTATACAATTATAATTCATCCAGAGATGTATATTATCAATATTATGTAAATATATATATATATATTCAAAGATAATGAAACAATGAATATGCAACCATGGTTAGTTCACCCAGACTATGACCATACGGGATATGCAAAGGGCGATACTAATATCTTTGTTCAACCCCCATTATAACCTCCATTAACTATACACCATTACAACCCCCATCAAACATAGTTATATCATCTGTTATATCATATCTAACATACACCATAATTCATTCAGCCACAAAAATTAGGCGCTTCTGAACGCGAGCTCGACTGGGGGCCCCATCCTGTACCCATTTTGTATAGGGACTTTGAAGGTCAAGACAACCCCAAGACTTGCATGCGACCACATCAATTTCCTCTCGAATTCGTCCCGGTACTACTCAGATCTAGCACCCATCCACCAATACCCACAACAAACATATCTTGAAAATGGGTACAGGCTGGGGCCCGCAGTCGATAGCATTCAGTTGCCTTATATTTGTGTGGCTGAATTCCATGGTATATGATGGTATATGGTAGATTCTGATAATATGGTTTATAAACCAACTTATAACTGGGGTGCCCCATCCTGTATGAAACAACCAACAACCACTAATAAAATGGCAAATCTTAACCATCTATTGTTTGGGGGTAAGAAAAAACAGTTAATGACATTAATCACATCGGTTATTTAGCATATTTTGCTCAGGGATACAAGGGGAACATGCCTTGCTGCATGACAAATAGATTCATGGTAGTGAGCTATCGCCCTAGGATCATGGCTATCCTTGCATGTACGCCGAGAACAAATAAGATCTGATTCCCATATATCCCCGTCATGTTGGTACACTAGTATGTGATGGTATGTGTTGTCACGATATTTGGCCGCATGCATTATAATTAATAACTTACAGTGCATAGTGAGCACAACACATACACAAAACTGAAACGATGGTTCTGAATTGCATACTAATCTATAGTCTAATCTCATGCTCAGCACATGTGAGATAGATACATCATATGCCACAGTCTTGATACATTTGACTTATATGGTTGAACTTGAACCTTTCAAGAACCTGAAATAAGTAGGGCAATCTTGGACAGATTCTCCTAGAAAGCCGCAGATCTCTGGTGACGTTGGCCTGTGTGGTTGTCCCCTGTTGTCGTGCTTGATGCCCAAATCCTGAATGTTCCCATATTTGTGAGGCCCCCAAGATAGCTAAGTTGGTTTATAACTCCAATCACTGTGGTTTATGGTACTTAAAACTATAGTTACTGGGGCTTATAAACCAACTTATAACTGGGGGGCCTCACATTGCATATTTGTGGGTTAAATCCTCACTTGTTGGTTGCTCAAAACCGAATTTATGTTGCTGAACTCCACAGACCTCGTGCTTGGTCTAGTCCAGCGAACAAAAAAATCTGCAGATTTCTTCTAAGCCCCTTCACTGCAAAGTAAAATCATCATGTTTCACCATCTTTTGCTGGTTGTTTCACCATGTTTCACCATCATTGGGTGGTTTTTCATGGCTATCCCCCGTGTGCCCAAGGAGCATTTCTACGCTCAACTCGTCCCGTTGTGCCCCGTTCTCGCCCAGCCACGCTTTGGTCCACTCACCTTTGTCCATGGTGTGCGCTTCGTCCACTGTGAAGGTGTGCTTCACCACCTTGGAGTGAAGATAGTGAAGCCGTAAACATCTGGCTTTTCCGGTTTTTCCATGGGAAATACCCTTTGGTATTGACTAGATGGCTAATCCAATGGGGTTATGATTGATTATTGATTATAGTGGGATTAGATTAATTACACTTTGGTAATGACTAACAGTTTGCGAACTGGAAAATGGCCCATAGAAATGGTTGATTTATCAAAAATAGTGATTTTCCATAGCCATGTTAGTTTACCAGAGGATACCATAAAACTTGCTATTTTAGTTGGAAGAATATGGAATAATCGTGGTGCACCATTGGACCTTTTGGGGGTGCGTGGCATTACCCTACTTTCGGACAAAGCCAATGTCATATTTTACCAGTGAAAATGCGGATGATGACTGGTTGGTGGTATACCTACCCCTCTGAAAAATATGAGTTCGTCAGTTGGGATCATTGCTCCCAACTGAATGGAAAATCACTATTTTTGAATGAGTAAATCCACTATTTCTATGGGCCATTTTCAATAGCAAACTGTTAGTTTACCAGAGGGTAAAAAATGTTCCAAGCCACCAACCAACTTGAATGGGTGAAGATCAACCCACCAGCTTGTACGATAGAAGGCCATCACCAATGGGGATGTGACTCAACAAAAATCGAGTTACCCATTTGGGGCTTTCCATAAATGGAGGTATTCCCATAGCTGGACGGTTTATTAAGTTTATAATTAATGGACAATCCTTCTATAAATGGATGATGTGGTTGTCCCCCCTATTTCAGAAAACCTCCATTTGACAAAGTTAGTTTTTCTAAGTGTGATAGCACATATTCCGCTTTAAAGATGGAATGTGAAGAGTATCAGCCTGCGTCTTTCGCCCGGTGCAGGGTGAAAGTGAGAGGTTGATCTCCAGGATGGAAGCGAGTGACAGCACGTCCCAAAAGTCACCGTCAAGGCTTGTTGTAGTTCCCAGTATATCCCGATCATATCGCAATATTGTTGGTTATCCACTATATCCCAAGTATCCCAATTCTATCCCCATTATATCCTCATTTTTCCGTGTACTCCAAAATCTAACATGGGGCAATATCCCCATTGGAACAATCATGTTCCGGAGTCCGGAGCTCTACTGCTGAAAAGTGACAGTGTCGTAGGAAACCATGCCTCACCACAGCTTGCAGGTTCAATGCATCATGCAATGTCAACTCTGGCATCATTGGGTAGTCCGACGGTAGTCCCAAGACTGCTATTTTCAAGGAAATACCCCCTGGTAAACTAACATAGCTATGGAAAATCACCATGTTTAATGGGTAAATCCACTATAAATGGCCATTTACCATAGCAAACTGTTAGTTTACCAGAGGGTAAACACCTTCCAAAGCCAAAAATGATTGGTAGTCTCAACCCATGTCATTGTGGATCATCCCATTCCTACCGTTGTTTTACATGCAACAAATATGAAACAACCAGCCATGCTATGGTTCAAGCTGGCAGTTTGCAATTCGGAATTTCCATTGCCATGTTGAGGGTACCCTCTGGTAATGACTAACGGTTTGCTATTGAAAATGGCTATTTATAGTGGATTTTCCCATTAAAAATGGTGATTTTCCATAGTTATGTTAGTTTACCAGAGGGTACCCAGTTCCGAATTGTCTTGATCAAATCTCAGTTCGTTCCCTTTCGTAAATAAGAATGTGTCTTGCTCAAATCTCAGTCTCTGCACGACATCGTCCTGTTTCCCCTGTGCTTGCCTCCAAAATCTATGCTGCTTAGTTCCTTCCGTTACCCTGGTCATATCCGTCTTTGGTGGAACCCTCGTGTGTTTCTGAACATTTCCATTGGTGAACCCGGCACGTCTTCTTCTCCAAGTTTTGTTGTTTAAATTCGCACTTCAGCTGGGGCAATCCGCATATTATATTTACCAGTGACATCTCTATGTTTCTCCAAAAATCATCAATATTCTACAGTTTTGAAATGTTTTTTCTCCTGGTGACATTCACATATCCGTCGTTAATGGGTCAAATTCATATTTTTTGATGGTAGATTCCCCATCTTGGTAAAGTCCCTCCCAAAATCGATGTTTGACGTGTTGTTTTCTATCTTTTAACCCCGTTTTTCCCATGGGAAAACCCGCAAATTTCTTGTTTCATCCATTAAAAAGAACCATAACTTGCGTGGTAAATATCCAACCTGTTAATCCCATGTTAAATCCCATTACCCTCTGGTTATTTAACCTAGCCATGGAAAATTGCCTATTTATAGATGGTTTACCTATTAAAAATTGTGATTTTCCATGGCTATGTTAAATAACCAGATGGTAAACATCATTAAATATCCCATCCTCCCATGTTAATCCCATGTTAAATCCCATTAACCATCATTAAACATCATTAAACCACCATATTTCTCCAATCTATGGCGGTTCAGCTCCCATCCGTTGTGCGTCGCCAGGGCGCTCTTGAACTCGTTGCTCACCACCTTGCACCGCGCCGGCCCGCTGGCACTCAAGCGCTCTGCGATCAGCGAGGCGGTGGCGAAGGTGAAGGGCACCTGCTGAACTGCGGCCGGTGGGGGGCAGCAGTGGTTTGTTGGTGAACCGCATTGATATTCTATGATATTCTATGTTATTCTGATCAACCGCATGAATTCATATGGTATAAATTATAGTTACAGATATATTCTAGATGTATATATAGTCTATACACCAACATCCATATAGTCTATGAATAAACTATGGTGTATATATCAAATGTATGTAGTTAATATACACCATGGAACATCCATAAATATCCATAAACATCCATTTAAAAAGAAACAACAACAACAACAACAACAGCAACAGCAACAGCAACAGCAACAGCAACAGCAACAACAACATAAACAACATAAACATATATAGTCTATAAATAAACATCAATCTAGTCATATAGTCATTACCAAAAATATCCATTGGGCAACATTATACATCCATAAACATCCATATAGTCTATAAATCACCAATATCTAGTATACTACATGAATCAAATGCGTATACACCATTTAAACATCCATAATAGTCATCCATCTACAGGATGGCCCCCCCCAGATTTAAGTTGGTTTATAAACCATTATAACCCCCATTAACTATAGTTCTATCTACGATAAATCATAGAATGCAGCCACTTATAAGGCAACTTACCTATCTAGGAGGCCCCATCCTGAAGGATGATTTGGATTTAATAACCATAATCCATAATCCCATAATTTGATGATGGGATTATTTTCATATGACTCCACCACTCCTTTTTTTAGTTGATAGTTGATTCGCTGTTGGCAAAACTAAATAATCATCCATATAGCCTATAAATAAACTATATCTAGTATACTACATCAATCAAATGCGTATACACCATTTAAACATCCATAATAGTCATCCATCTAGTGCCATTTGATGATCCACAGCATCACCTTGGAACACTCCTCGAAGCTCATGCTGAAACGATCTCCGTACCTTGGACGAGACGGGAAGGTATAAGGCCAAGAAACCACTCTCACGAACTGGAAGAAACAAATAATGTAACAATGTATATATGAGCGATTGTGAAAACCCTAGGTTCACGGAAAGGACATCCACAAATTTGGGAAGGTCCCATCGCTTACCACACGTTTGTACAATAATGATATATGGTAAACTTGGGGGGTATCGCTTGCAGGAAACTGCTGCATTTATATATATATATATATAATATTATATATGTGATGAACTATGAATAATATGTGATATTTGGGTATCGCTAATGTGGATATTAGAGAAATGTGATGACATAACCTTGAAAAGGGGTATCGCTAATTTGGGAAGGTCCCATCGCTTACCTCGTGTTTTTAGCAATTTCCATCAATTTCCATAAACCAATGTCCGTCGAATACATATTTAGTATTGCCGGGGTTTTTACGGTTGCTCATATATATATATATATTTATAGATATATCAAACATGGGTGAAACTAAATGAATTTTAGGAAACAACACCTATTGAATGGCCAACTTGATGGTTCTGACGCATCCTTTTGACGCATGTTCAAGCAACAAAGAGAAGGACTGAACCAGGGAAATTCTGGATCGTGTTATTAACGAAATAACGAAACAACGTGCGAAGTTAACCAAGAAACATGGAGGAATGGAACATTGATCAACACCAATCGAGATAAATTTCATCAGCATACGATGGACGTTCAAAACTAACCTAAGTTAATATGAACAGTGTTTCTGTGGATTACCCTCTGGTAAAAGTTTACATAACTATGGAAAATCATCATGATATTAATGGGAACATCCACTATTTCTATGGCCATTTTCAATAGCTTTTTGTATGTTTACCAGAGGGTATGTTGGACTATGTTCAATTTTGGACATTTGCACATCAACTAAGCTAAGCTGATGACATTTCATCTAATCCCACTGTTTCTGTGGATTCTGTTGGATATGACAAAACTATTTCCTATGAAAAGCTGAGGGCTACCTGTGGTCCCACAGGACCTTCAAGTTTCACCACAAGATATGACACAAACATGGGTGAGATTCCTCATGTTCGGAAGGTTGGACAATCATTGGACATATTACTGTCTGGTTGGTGGTATACCCACCCCTATGAAAAATATTAGTCAGTTAGGATGATTATTCCCAATATATGGAAAAAATAAAAAATGTTCCAAACCACCAACCAGCTGTGATGGGGGTTTCCCCAAAATAGGGAAACAAATGGTGGAAAATAAATTGGAGGAATTTTGGGGTACCCCTACAGGATGAGGCCCCCCAGTGATGTGAATGTTGGTTTATAAACCATGATAACCCCCATTAACCATGGAATAACCCCCATGAATACCATGGAATTATATGGTTATATCTACCATTGTTGGGGGTCTATAAACCATCAACTATTAATTACATGTTCGTTATATCTACCATAAACCATAGAATTCAGCCACAAACATAAGGCAACTGAACGCTATCGCTCGACTGGGGGCCCCATCCTGTGCCTTAGGAAACCCTTACTGTATATGGTTTCATGGAAATTTCATGTTCGTTACAAGTTCCGCCGCCTGAGAATTTCACCAAGCGACAGTCGTTTCAGAGCAGCGACACCTTTGCCGCCCACCACCACAATCTGCAGGGAGAAATCATGAGACTCGAACAACCAAACATTGGGGAAATGGTGGTTTAATGGGATCTAAATTGGATTAACATAGTATCAACATTAGATCAAACTGGGATTGATGACATGGTGACCCCCTAGTTTTCAGCTAAATTGATTTATGACTAGATGAACTGTTGGGTTCATGGTTATGGATGGGTGAACATAAACCAACATAAACATAAATGAGGTTCACCACATTGTATGCACCCGATTTGCTACTTCAATGCGAAATTGATGCAAACAAATCCCTAGAACTATGTGTACTCACAATCCTTGTTTCTGACACTGCTGTTCTTTTATTGTGCTCTCCACTTCTTCAAGCGTAGAATTGGTTGGTTCTCTATATGGGGGGCCAGTGGGGCAAACCCTCGGGTAGTCAGTAAAACATATCGGATCCTTTCCAGTTCCAGTGACCAATCTTATTATCTCTCTGATGGAGAACCCCTTTCCAACATATATCACATATATATATATCATATATATATATATATTGTAAAATCTGAAAATAACAAAACAGCATCACAACATATCACAACATCAACCGATCAGTTTTATTGTAATATATATATATGTATGTATACCATCCAATCATTTTCAAAAATTCAGTTCAAAAAACATCCAAATTTCCCCATCATCCATCCCCCCATCATCCCATCCCCATTTAAACACACACACAATCACATATATTGAAAATATACCATGTGTATATATATATATACTGCTTGGTGGTTTCAACCCTTCTGAAAAATACGAAAGTCAGTGGGGATTATTATTCCCAATATATGAAAAAATGTTCCAAACATGTCCAAACCACCAATCAGTATAAATAGTTATATATAAATAGGAAAAATGTTCCAAACCACACTATAAATAGTTATAAATTATAAAAATTCTCCATCCCCATCCCCCATCCTTTTCGCACCTTGGAGATGTTGCCTTTGGCTTCCTCCGCGCTGATGCCCAGCCGCACCTGCTTCGCCACAGCTGTGTTCACGCCGCCGCAGAGACCCTTGTCCTCGACGATGGGCGCCCGGGACATAGAGTTGATTTCATCATAAGGAAGTTGGAATTAACAAAGATGAACTGTTGGGTTTTTGGCTATTTTCAAGCAATTATACTTGGAGGATCTTTATAAAGCAACTAACATCGACCTGCACCGCGGTTAAGGTGACCGTCAACATCGCTTAAACATACGGATTGCGATGAATGGATGGATCTTCATCGCACCCAAAACACTGGTAAACACTTGGTATTTAATGGTATTTATAGGCTTTACAAGTTGCTTTAGATGGGTATCACCACGACTATAACCACCATAATAAGTTGGGAATTAATTCACCCTGCAACTATCGCCTTGCCCAAGCAGACCACAAATTTTGGAATTTACTTGGGGTTTGTTTATTTTTTGAATTTTCCAGAATCAAACTTCAAAGTTGGTTATGTTGTGTTCTTGTTGGTGCTTTTTGTTGTTTAGAGATTCAAAAATCCTCAAGCTTCATATCATCTTCTAGACCTTAGATTGTCTGAGATAGATTTTGGCAATCGCAGAATGTGGGGTTATGAAGAACTTGCATTCTTTGTCACATTGATGATGACAATCAGGCGTCACAATCTCATCACTGTTGTCTTCAAACCACAGGAGTTGCATGACCGTGGATTCGAAATCGACCAGCCTCATCCTCACCCTCAACCCACACCATCGAGTCGATTCCAATATTCCTCGGAAGCCTCTGTTCGAGCCTCGACCTCACGAAACTCGAGCACTCCTCTTCCTCTTGGCCAGACTCCTGTTTCGACGGGTCCACCTGCTCGAACTGGCCAACAGCATCAGGAACATCAGCACAATATTCAACCTCTCCAATGATCTGTGCTTCACTGCAGATGCCAAGCGCTCGCTCGGAAGTGGGCTGAACCAAAATGACAAGCGGAGCCGAAACAGCGCTCAAAGCACGACGAACAGCAGTAACATCCCAAGAAAACGGCGGATCCATGACAACAAGATCAGCTTGAAGCCGGTCATCAAGAGCAAAAATATCCTGCCCACCAAAACGATGATCAATGTCCACAAGAAAGGAATCCATACCGCGCTGAACGAGCCGCTCATGAAGCGTGGGGCACATAGCACACACTGGATTGTCACTATTGAATTTCATGGACAGGGACACTTTGGGAAACTGCACTAATTATATGATAATATGATTGTTGTATGAGCATATCCCGAAAGTGGTTCAATCACCCACCAGCGATGTCTTACCTGTGTGTAAGAAACCCAGGATATCTAAACCAAATTGAATGGGTAAAATTCCATTATACCACCAGATTCTTGGGCATATACCCACTTTATCACCATTATAATCCAAGAATCCACCATTTACAGATGATTTTGTCCATCAAAACCTTCATTTACATGGGATTGTCATTTTTTCCACCCTTTATAGATGATTTTTCATATTTTTCCCATCAACATCTTCATTTCCAGTGGATTAAAATAATGAAAACTATCATTTCCCATGACATATTTCCACCTTTTTCCGGTCATTGCGAACCCTCCATGCCCCGCACCCCGTGCCATTGCCGCGGAACCGAGGTAACGGCCACGTAGGTGATGGCGCCCGCCTTGTCTTCCACGGGGAGGCGCTGGAACAAATTCAGCACCGGAAGGGCGAAGGGCAAGCCATTCTCCATGGTTCGCATGTCCTGGTGTAGTTCTTGAAATTGCTGGGTTTATTGATGAAGATTTAACAAGGAATTGTTGATGGGATTCTATGGGATGTAACATATGGGAGTATTGATGTTATAATAGGATTTTATGGGATTTTATGGCTTGGAGTTATTGAATGTCAACCATCCAACTAACTATTAGGATTAATTTCAGTAACTAACCATCCAACTAACCATCCAACTAGAGTTATTGAATGTTCTGGGAGATTATTCATTAGTTAGGCTTAATAGGAATAACTCTATTCATCACCCCCATAACGTGTTGGGCATATTAAGCCTATAACTAGGCTTCGTATGTCCTGAGACAGATGGGACGGACATTGGAAAAAACATGTGGTTTCTGGTATTTTCAATGGATTGGTTTAAGGGAAATTCTACAAGAAACCCATGGGTTTTTACCATCAAATTGATCGGGGTTTCCGGTTAAAATTTTCCCATCATCCAATTCTGGTGAATTTTAGGAATTATAACGGAACAATCTCGGATTATAATGGGATTATAATGAGAATATATACAGGTTGGTGGTTTTTCGCCCTACCCCTCTGAAAAATGATGGACCAGTGTGGGTGCCCCGCGGGGCCGCTAAGTGATTTCTGCCGCTTGCCCCGCTTGCCCCGCTTGCTCCGCTTCTAGGGAAAATAAGTGAATCTTCCTCCTTGCCCCGCTTGCCCTGCTTGCCCCGCTTGCCCTACTTGCAAACCGAGGGAAGATCGGTGGTTCTTCCCGCTTGCCCCGCTTGCCCCGCTTGCCCTGCTTGCTTTGGTTTCAGCACACAGCAGTATGAAAAAGGAATAGAGGTGGCAACGTGAATGGAATGTTTGGGCGAGTGGGGCGAGTGGGGCGAGGGGGGCGAGTGGGGCGAGTGGGGCGAGTGGGGCGAGTGGGGCGAGTGGGGCGAGTGAGGCGAGTAGGGCGAGTGGGGCGAGGGGGGCGACTCCAAACACCGTTGCAACAATACCAGATTGGATTCTGCAAGTTCCCTTTGTAGAAGACGTGTGCAAGATCTCCTTGACAGGTTCTTTCTAGACGCTGCTGTGCAAGATCCTTTTGTACAAGGTCTGTATGAGACCAAACAAAGATCGACTATGTTTAAACATGTCCTCGAAAAATTGCGTTGAACATTGCTTGACACCAATGTGCATCAAGCATCACCGGAAGCAACCTCCAGCCATTCCGGGAATGCGCACCGACGCGCAGTGCACGGGCCCCGCGGGACCACAGACCCGATGGTCACAGTGAGGAGTGGACTATTGTGCCATCTCTATTTGATTGCGTACCAACATCACGCATGCTGGCATCAGCATCTGCTGAATCCCTAAGGTAGAAGCCGTTGTCCTGGTGCCACTTAGCATCGGCACCTGCAGACGCAGGAGTCAGCGACATGGTCGGTGTGGACAGGACTCCCGTGAGTCTTCTTTCCCCCATGAAGCAGAAAAAATATATCGCAGTTGGAAAGGATGGTAGAAAACAGAAAAAACAGGTGCAAGTTTCAATTCTTTCTTGGACTGGATCAGGAACAAATAAAACATGTGTCTTGCTTCAACATCTCGAACGGCTATGTTCAGCGAACAGTGGCTTCACATGCGCCGCGCAAACTATTTCGGAGCCGCGGTGTTGGCTGTCCGCTTTGCCTCAAAAAGAGTAGATTGGGCCTTTGTCAATCTCATGCCACCAGCGCACACGATTGAACACTAGAAGGCCGAGCAGACTGTTTTGAATGTGGCTTTGGACACGATGATGAACCACTATGTAAGATCTTCACACCACAATGTCTTGTCATGAAAATGGGTGGGTTGATTGAAATTGATGCACAATATGTTGCAGCCACCATACAGTCTTGATTGAAAGCATTCACCTCGTAGGGTCAGGAACACGCTCGGGCTGGAAAGAAGCCAGAGCTTAATTTCGAGGAATCGCACCATTATTGACGCGTATCTTTGGAAACAAGACTTATATACAACAAGTGCTTTGGAGCACATTGTCACTCTTTTTTTGGGCTGGCAGTTTAGACATGGGACCGTGCAAGACCTCGTATTTCTGGAATCCTACTTGAAATCATTGGCACTCAGTTGCAGCTTGGCAATCATGTCTTGAGCTTCCGAATTAGTCAAAAGGTCTTCCCAGGCACATGTCTGGTAGTACAGGACAGCGTGGCCACCTGGCGGGCCTCGTGGCTCGCTCTTTAGCGTGGCCTCCTTGCTCTTGGCGCTTTTCTTGTCCTTAAGTTTGGGCGCCTGCTCTTCCACTTCCTTCTTGTCAACCTCTTGCAAGATGCCAACTTTCAAGAGGTCTTTGACTGCTGCCAAGACGTACTTTGCTGGTTTTTCTTCTTTCTCCTTCTGAAAGTGGTACTTCAGAACAGAGCGAATGTGCGCAGTGGAGGTTGGACCAGCGCATCGAGGATTGGACAGAATGACTTGCTGCAATTTCATCTTGGCATCCAAATCTGCAAGTCCTGGGGTCTTGACATCTGGCACGGCTTTGGGGCCTACCAAGGCTTGGACTTGCTTGGAGCATCTGCGTCAGCATAGCGTAGCTTCTGTTAGATTGGTTCTTCTACATTCTCGTGATTCTCGTGCAAGAAGTCGGAGATTCCCTGCAAAGCCTTCCTGAGCACGGGCAAGGCGAACTTGTCAAAATAGTGGTCTTTGTCCTGGTTGCTTGCCACGCGCCCCATCCAACCAAAGAAGTCAATCAGAAACTCTTTGCTGGACTGGCTCTGCTGATCAGGGTCACTTGTCACTGGCCTTGTTTGCCACGTCGCATGGATTCTCTTGGAAAACATGCTTGCAGTCGGCTGGAGCACATACTCACAAAGCGACACCTGTCCATACACGTGGTGAACGAAGATGTAATGAGTCAGCGCAGTGGCACCATCTCCAGTGACTGTCTTGTCACCTTCGCAGTTCAGCCAAGTGCACATCTTTTCTTTGTTGCCGTAGTGCAGACCTGAGTGTCGGGTCTCCCTCCCGGATGTCACGGCATATTGTTGTGGCAATCTCATCCGAAATGATGCCAGCTCGGACATATTCTTTGATAGAAGCACGAATACCCTTGATGGTGGCATCCGTGCATGTGGCGCCACCTGCCTTGATGACAGCAGGGACATCTGCATGGGAAAGAAGCTTTTTGCTGGTAAAATCCTTCAAAGAACTCTTGCGCATGCTGGGGTCACCTGCGCAAACAATCTGGACTACGCAGCCACGTTGGTGCTCCTCATCAGGCTGCAATCGAAGCCGCGTGCCTGCATGGATGCTCCATCCAACCAATGTTGCTGAGGATCGGCGCCATGAATGTCTCAGGCTCCCAACCTTCCTTGCGGGCAATGGTTCTCAAGCTGACTCCGAAAGGCGCGGGCAGCACTTCTCGAGTTCGGAAGGCAAAGTCTGATGCCACAGCGTTCCCTGGGGTCTTTCAAGGCTGCATTCAGGACGGTTTGATAAGAAGCCTCCGGGCTTCCAAGCCCTTGATATGTGCTCTTGGTGTGAAGGAATGAAAGGCTTTGTGCTTCATCCATGCAAGCCAAGTAATTTGATATGGCGTCGTGCATAGGATCCTTCACCGTGGTAGATGCCTTGCTGGTCTGACTCAGGTCGTAGATGTCAATCCCAAAGCTTGGAATGGACAAGCGGGCTGCTTCACTTCCACCCTGTGTGAAGGGAGGGCTTTCTGGGCTTGGGGACCTTTGGGTGGGCGGCACTGGGCTGCGTTGTCCTGCTGGTGGGCTTGCGTTGGTTGTTAACTTCTTGCCCGCTGGGCCCCCACCCGCACGGACAGGCGAAGCTGCCTCTTCTCTGGTCTTTCTTTTTACCCCCTCAGCCACAGCCTCTGCTTCCATTGCTGCCTCAGTCTCCATCTCTTGCAAACCACCATCATCAGCCTCTTCCTGGGAATCTTCATTCTGAAGACAGAATGGGCAGTCATGCATCGGGCAGCCCTGCTTTAATCGGTATTGCTGCAAGCAATCCGCCTGGCACATGTGTGAGCAAGAGTCTCGGCTCGGCTCGGGGAGCACAAGTGTTTTTCCGCATCGTCTGCGAAACCATCTCCACAAATTTCACACGTGGCCATGTCTAGGAAGCTAACTCCTACAACTTGAACTTGATGGCGCGGCTTGGGTACCGGAGAGCACTTGTCAATGCGTGGTATGATGGTCATATTTGTCGGATTTGCCTTTGCAGTCCCAAGCGTGATATCGACAATATGCAACCAAACTGGGTCTCATGCATGTTGCGCTGCGTGGACAGCCGGAACAATGTGAAAATGTTCACATGCCCTCCACATCTCTCAGTTTCAACACTTCTGTAGCGCGCAGCGAATTTTTTTTAACCTCGCGACATTATCAAAAACTGCTTGGCCTAGTGTACAAAAGGACTGCACAATATCGTCCATGCCATTGAGGCCCACAGGTCGCAGTGGACGAAGCCAGGGCGGCGCTAATCAGGTACGGATAATTTGCGGTCTGCGGCCTGCAGCGTCTGCAAACAAGATTCTTGCAACGCTTGAACCCGAACCTCCTACGTTCACCTAGCTGCAAAGAAAACGACTCCAAATAGGGCAGTCGTGGTAATGGTACAGATGATGAATTTCTGTCGTCGGGAGATTACTTCCTGACATCTCGCTGTTGACTTCAAGATGTCCCAATCACAAACAGAATCTGCAATCTACAGCCCAAGACGTTATATACACCAGCACACTTTGCGTCGCTATTTGATATGGCGTCGTGCATAGGATCCTTCACCGTGGTAGATGCCTTGCTGGTCTGACTCAGGTCGTAGATGTCAATCCCAAAGCTTGGAATGGACAAGCGGGCTGCTTCACTTCCACCCTGTGTGAAGGGAGGGCTTTCTGGGCTTGGGGACCTTTGGGTGGGCGGCACTGGGCTGCGTTGTCCTGCTGGTGGGCTTGCGTTGGTTGTTAACTTCTTGCCCGCTGGGCCCCCACCCGCACGGACAGGCGAAGCTGCCTCTTCTCTGGTCTTTCTTTTTACCCCCTCAGCCACAGCCTCTGCTTCCATTGCTGCCTCAATCTCCATCTCTTGCAAACCACCATCATCAGCCTCTTCCTGGGAATCTTCATTCTGAAGACAGAATGGGGAGTCATGCATAGGGCAGCCCTGCTTTAATCGGTATTGCTGCAAGCAATCCGCCTGGCACATGTGTGAGCAAGAGTCTCGGCTCGGCTCGGGGAGCACAAGTGTTTTTCCGCATCGTCTGCGAAACCATCTCCACAAATTTCACACGTGGCCATGTCTAGGAAGCTAACTCCTACAACTTGAACTTGATGGCGCGGCTTGGGTACCGGAGAGCACTTGTCAATGCGTGGTATGATGGTCATATTTGTCGGATTTGCCTTTGCAGTCCCAAGCGTGATATCGACAATATGCAACCAAACTGGGTCTCATGCATGTTGCGCTGCGTGGACAGCCGGAACAATGTGAAAATGTTCACATGCCCTCCACATCTCTCAGTTTCAACACTTCTGTAGCGCGCAGCGAATTTTTTTAACCTCGCGACATTATCAAAAACTGCTTGGCCTAGTGTACAAAAGGACTGCACAATATCGTCCATGCCATTGAGGCCCACAGGTCGCAGTGGACGAAGCCAGGGCGGCGCTAATCAGGTACGGATAATTTGCGGTCTGCGGCCTGCAGCGTCTGCAAACAAGATTCTTGCAACGCTTGAACCCGAACCTCCTACGTTCACCTAGCTGCAAAGAAAACGACTCCAAATAGGGCAGTCGTGGTAATGGTACAGATGATGAATTTCTGTCGTCGGGAGATTACTTCCTGACATCTCGCTGTTGACTTCAAGATGTCCCAATCACAAACAGAATCTGCAATCTACAGCCCAAGACGTTATATACACCAGCACACTTTGCGTCGCTACTTACTGGCTTGGTTCGAACCACTGTACCAAATCTGTATATTTCCATACAGCCCACTGCCTAACCAAGTACGGGTAACTAACATACATCCTTGTGATTGTACTTTTGTATGCTCGAGATACCATCGACAGCCCGGCTCAGAGAGCACAGGTAAGCCAAGGGCCGCTAATCTTGACAGTGGCAAGTGGCACCACCAGATAGAGCCAATGTTTGCAAGTTCAGTCACATTGGGAAACATGCATCTGGAAACACACAGACCGGCAAGAATGCCAGATAGGATGTCAGAATGTATGCCACATAGACTCCCATAAAAAATGCCAGATAGAATGTCAGGCAGTATGTCAGATGAAATCTCAGACAGAATGCCAGATAGAATATCAGATAGAATGCCAGAGAGAATATCAAAATAATCAGAAACAATCTCAAAATATATGGCAGATGGAATGCCAGAAAGAATGCCCGATAGAATCTCTCTCTCTCTATATATATATGATATGTCAACTAGAATGCCAGTTGACCGGGGCCACTCGAGGAAAGTAATTTTGACTATTATCGTTTATCAGGCGGGCGTCTACCCATTCCATTCCATTCCATCTGTCCGTCCGTCCATCCTATCCATCCACCCATACTGTCCATCCATCCGTCCTTTCCGTTCATCTACATATCTATCTACCTAGCTATCTGTTCACCTATCTGCCTATCTACCTATCTATCTACCAATCTATCTAGCTATCTATCTTTCGATCCATCCATCTATCGAATTTATATACTTTCATACAACGTTGCAATCCTTGGGTTGCATGTGGATTGAAGATTCCAGAAAGAACACTCTTCAATCCAAAGAAGGGTACAGAGGGTACCGACAACAAGAAGCATTGAGAAGCCGTTCTCACGACATGCGCGTCAGCCCGTATTCAAACAATCCAGACCGACTGCCCCGCTTGCCCCGCTTGCCCCGCTTGCCCCCTTGCCCCCCTTGCCCCGCTTGCCCCGCTTGCCCCGCTTGCCCCCCTTGCCCCGCTTGCCCCGCTTGCCCCGCTTGCCCCGCTTGCCCCGCTTGCACTTGCTCTGCTTACCTCCGCAGCAAGTGCGTCGAGTGGGGGGAGTGGGGCGAGTCGGGCGAGTGGGGCGAGTCGGGCGAGTGGGGCGAGTAGGGCGAGTGGGGCCGAGTAGGGCGAGTGGGGCGAGGGGCCAAAGTCAATTAATTTTCCTACCAAGGCAAGTGGGGCGAGTGGGGCGAGTGGCGGATTTCAATTAGTTTGCTAGCCCAGGGCAAGTAGGGCGAGTGGGGCGAGTGGGGCGAGTGGCGGATTTCAATTAGTGTTCCTCGTGGGCGCCCGCAATGTGATGGACTGAGTAACAGTTGGGATGATTATTCATATTATTCCCAACTGAATGGAAAGTCATAAAATTCCATGGTTCCAAACCACCAATCAGTATATATATATATTTATAATAATCGGATTATAACTGGATTGTAACGGTGATCTGGATGAATCGGGATGAACCATCAAAAACTCATGGAAAAATGATGGTGTTTAAATGTTTCAATATGTTGTAACCATCAAACAAAAGGAATCTAATCCAGACATGATGTTCCCCTGAGATTTAACATAGCTGACATAGCTATTAACAAGCCACGACCTGACTATTGTTCGATGATGTACATATCAAAAATAGTGTTTGTTTCTTCATAACTTGAGTTACAAATACAGATGTGTGTTTTTTTAAATGCATGTAATGCATTTATACCGCTGTGGAGATAGTCCGGGGAAACAGGAAATAAATACGGGTGGTTGAGACGCTTGAGACACTTCCCCAGACAAAGCGGGGATGCACCAACAGAAATATCCAACATGGCAATCTTAGCTACCCGGCACAAAAAGGAGATTTGACGAACATGATATTTCACATGATATTTCACCGTTATCACATGAATATCATTGTTAAGATATCATCTTAGGAGGAAATTCTGCAAATCAGATTTAATTACTCACCAGGGACGTCCATTAGAGACCACCATTTTTTTGGTTTTCTCAGTGGATAAGTTACGTATACGTTATGTCGGGCGTTATGGGCCGGTGAGGGGGGGTCTCTGTAAACCATGCCGAAAATGACAGAAATCAAGAAAAGGCTGTTTTTTGATGTTTTCAGCAGATCCCAAGAAAACATTGTTTTTGCACTTTTCTTGGAATTGACAAGAATTGATTTCTAAGTTACGGTATACGTCCTTTTTTGTCACCCTTAATGTCACCATCTTCCGTTGTTACGTAAGTGATCCTGGGATCCTGGGATGCCCTTGGTGCTGGCCATCTTTTTTTGTTTCTTGCGACGGGACTGAACTGGTAGCCTGGTCCTCCGGTAGCAACAGCACAGCATATGTTAAAAAACGATTGAGACATGTGTAGTCATATGTTGATTCGATTGAGACATGTGTAGTTTGTTTTCTGCACGTCCTGGTGATTGTTCTTTTCATGACCATTCGTGGAAAAATATCTTTGCTTTTTCCAGCACAGATTGCAGAAGGACTTGTCCCTCTGCAACGCAAGATCACTTTTTAAGATACTGACCACTGTTCACCCTGACATCACAAAAACAAAGGGATTACTCCAAAACTTTCAGTACTCCCCCCCTCTTTGTGGTGGTGAAATGCACAATTTCCCCAGGGTTAATCACCATGATCACTGTATTCCAGTTTTGAATCACAGTTTTTGCAATGAAATCTTAATCAAACATTCGCTGGTTTCCCCCACCCCAAACTTTACAGACTATAAATATGATTGAATTCGCTTGTTACAATCCAATTATTTACTGATTAGAAACTGATTCAATCACCATTTTCACCCAATTCTACTGATTAGAATTCATTAAACCATCATTTTCCCACCATTTTCCCAACGTTTTGCCACCATTTTCCAGGGATTCTGAACTCATTCAACCAGCATTTTCCAGGATCCCAGACCTTCTTGAACTTGGCAGTGGCCACCATCTTCATTGCCTGGGACAGGACAGTGAGTGATTGGGAACTTTTGCTGATGACGTTTTTTTTCTTTTTTTTAATCTTGGATAGCCTCTGGTAATGACTAACAGTGATTCACAATGGATGATCATTTTTTGTGGTGATTCATAGTGATGAATGGTGGATATAAGGATATAATTGGTATACCCTCTGGTCATGACGAACAGTTTTTGCGAACTGGAAGCCATGGTCCTATGATGGTGATCTCCCATGGTTTTTTGTATGTTTACCAGAGCGTATAATGACTACATATTATGTAATGGATATTATGTAATATATGATTAGTATATGGTTAATATATGGTTAATATATGGTTAATGATGGTTAATATATGGTTAATATATGGTTAATGATGGTTAATATATGGTTAATATATGGTTAATATATGGTTAATATATGGTTAATATATGGTTAATATATGGTTAATATATGGTTAATATATGGTTAATGATGGTTAATATATGGTTAATATATGGTTAATGATGGTTAATATATGGTTAATATATGGTTAATGATGGTTGATGATGGTTAATAATAACCTGGTTGGTGGTTTTAACCATCTTGAAAAATATGAAAGTCAATGAGAAGGCTTATCCCATGTATTATGGAAAAATAAACCATGTGCCAAACCACCAACCAGCTATGTAATGGATATTATAGTTATTTCTGTTATTGCAGTAATGGTATGACAGTAATTATATACATGTTATTTTTAGTAATCTTTCGGTAATGACTACATATTATGTACTGATTAGGAAATGACTAATGGTTATGATAAAAACATATAGTAACTATCAACGATTGATGCATATTACAATGGATACAGTATTATGTGTAATGGATATATAATTATTACGAAGATATACTGGATAGATATGGATGGATTTATTGCCTCACATATGTAATGCATTATGTCATAACTAATATTGTTATACCATAGTCAACACTAATTAATGTCACAACAAATTACTATTAAAAACATACTACTATATACATAATTATTGCCACAACTATTGCTACAATATAGCAATTATGATTGGTATAACTATCCATTAGTAAGTTCATTATAACTAGCAAAGATGGATGACTCTTAAAATTATATTACTATGATTGCTATCATGGATACGTATAATGAATAATCCAAACATATTGGTCTTCTGATGTCACTAGAATTCACAAACTATGGATAATCAACTATATATCATGACATACTATGGTTAATAAATACTTAACTATTTACAAATTGTTGGTTAACCAATTAAAATGATAATCAGTACTAATGGCGATATATCATAGTGACTAATGGATATGTTAAAACTAATGCTGTAATATAGTCGTGATGATTCATATCCATGATGGATGACACGTGTAATTACTTGCGGATGGCTGTAGTGACTAATGCGACTAATGATAGATATACATTTAAAAAAATAAAATGATAATGGATGACTATTGCAAAAAAACAAATGATGAATCGAGTATATTAATGGATCGCCTATTCATTATGTATTTATTTTGGGTAATGCATGGAAAATAAGAACAATCATAGTACATAAGTCAGTATCCATGGATATAATTGGCTGCCATGTTTATGTGGTTACCTATAAACGAATATTCAGTGACCATTGCAAATAAGTACTGGATATAAATGAATATTAGTATATTCAGTCTTTAGTTTTTGTTCAGTCTTCAGGATATCTATTGTAACTAGTAACAAATTAGGTTACTGAAGGTTATATGCATCTATCTTGGACTCATGATCAACCCTAGTCTTAGTATAAGATACAGTATATTGGTTTGAGGCATCTATAGTAACCATTACCTATCTATTATAACATATCACAACGGATTTACACTTCATTGCAAGGAAGCACTTATAACCGACAGAAAACTAATATGATACATGTAAGTGCCATTTATGGACCCAAGATAGGACTTACCCAAAGCAATAAAGATTCACCAACCCCAAAAAGGAGTATAACTTATCTGATTGGTGGTTTCAAACATCTTGAAAAACATGAGTTCGTCAATGGGAAGGATGACATCCCATATATGAAATGGAACATAAAAGCCATGTTTGAAACCACCAACCAGATATATGGTACTTCTACTATTCACTATTACTATCACTAGTATCTACTATTACTATTGGTATACCATAGTATATCCCATATATTCACCGACCTCAGGAGTATAACTTATAGTATAACCACCAAGAGTATCCAAAAGTGAGGATATTGGCTCGTTATTCCTCGTCGGTCTCTGGCTGAAATGACTGACTTCAATTCCTATTGGGTTCATGGGCCACATCTACAGTTGCTTCCGCACATTGGCCCATCAGAATTGACAATTACTTTACTTCGTGTGATCCCCACCATGACATTTATACATTTTGTTACTGGCAAATCTTCTGGCATTCTATCTGACATATCTTCTGGCATTCGATCTGGCATTCTATCTGGCATATCTTCTGGCATTCTACCTGGCATATCTTCTGGCAGATGTTCTGGCATATCTTCTGGCAGATGTTCTGGCATATCTTCTGGCAGATGTTCTGGCATATCTTCTGGCATTCCATCTGGCATGTTCTGGCATCTGGCATATCTGGCATATCTTCTGGCATATTATCTGGCAAATCTTCTGGCATTCCATCTGGCATTCTATCTAGCATATCTTCTGGCATATTATCTGGCAAATCTGCTGGCATTCTATCTGGCAAACATTCTGGCACTTTATCTGGCATATCTTCTGGCATTCTAGCTGACATTCTATCTGGCATTCTATCTGGCATACCTTCTGGCATTCTATCTGGCATATCTTCTAACATTCTATCTGGCATATCTTCTGGCACTCTATGTGGCATATCTTTTGGCGTGGATACTCGCGGTTGAGGTCCGGCAGGGAACACTGGGCGTGGATGGTCGTGGTTGAGGTCCGGCAGGGAACACTGGGCGGGGATACTCGCGGTTGAGGTCCGGCAGGGAACACTGGGCGTGGATGGTCGTGGTTGAGGTCCGGCAGGGAACACTGGGCGTGGGATGGTCGTGGTTGAGGTCCGGCAGGGAACACTGGGCGTGGATGGTCGTGGTTGAGGTCCGGCAGCGAACACTGTGGATCGCGGGTCGCAGTTGGACGAGGACGACGAGGACGACGAGGACGACGAGGACGACAAGGACGACAAGGAGGACCAGGAGGAGGCAGGAGGCAGGCGGCGGCAGGAGGAGGCAACTGACATAAAATCTAACAACCCTCACCTGGCAGGTGGGGAAAAAACCATCAACAAAACATGTGTTCAATATAATTCACCCACCATTCACAGCTGAAAATTACATGAACTTACCCAGTCTTCCTTGGTTTTATCAGTTTTATCAATGTATATCCCTATGTTGATTGCTTCAGTCTCTGCGTTTCTTCATCACCAACCATCACCCACAACGCGGCTCCGACGTCAGTTATCGTCACTTGCTGTGCCTTGGTGATCTTCTGCATGTTCTTAATGGCGCGCATTCCTAAGAGAATCTGCTTGCTGCTTTCACCAAAATCATGGCACTTATCTCATGTCATGTTAATCAAGTCAAGTCAAGTCTTGCTGTATGGTTTTGAGATAGCGAAAGACCTGACACTTCGTGTTGTAACTGGTTGGTGGTTTTAACCATCTTAAAAAATATCAATGGGAAGGATTATCCCATATATGAAATGGAAAATAAAAGTCATGTTTGAAACCAGCCAGTTGTAATCATTCAGGGGTGGTTTTCAGTGACCATTTCAAGCGCTGGAATCCTTGCCATGGGATCCTTGCCAGATCTGACATGATCCAGCGCTGGTCATTGAACCAAGTTACCCTTTGGTAATGACATGTAATGACTAACATAACTATTGAAAATGATGATTTATGGTGGATTTAGCCCATTGAAAATTAGGTGGATCTTTCCAGTTCGCTATGTAAACGTTTACCAGAGGCTAAACTGGTTTTGCTGAGGGAATGACAAAGTAGTTCTCAAACAAACACCAGTCCGTTTCCTCCCAATTTTCACATTTGTCTTGGTTGGTTCCCATCCTTTCTTGGTCGATATATAGAGAGGAGGCTTCACCAACCTGTCCAAATACCCTATATCCGATATCCAAATTTAATGGCCACGTGTGGCTGTTGCGATATCTCAAACCTCACTCTTTCCGGAACCCCTATTTGTCCACGGTTGAACCACCTTTCCTAGTTAAAATCTCCTATCTTCCTTGTTCAAATCCAGCCTCACCGGGCACGGGGGCCCGCGGAGGCGGAGGTCCCCCATTGAGATTACCACACCATGTCTGCGCACAATTTCCCACACAAAAGTGGTCCGTCTTCACCTGCGAATAGCTGTGGGAAATTTCATGATCATCATTCCTATTCTGAATTGCCCTAAATTGAAAGCCTTTTTTTTTTGGACAAATCCAAATTGTTCATCGTATTGTTGGTTAAATCCTCCGTTTCCAATCAAATCCCCATTCACTGGAAGATCCACCATGTTAATGAAATCCCAATGTGTCCCAGTAAAATCTCCATGTTTCAATTATAAAAAACACATGTTCTATCATTTTTTTCATGGAAAAAACAAATCCACCATTTTTCATGGTAAATCCATGTAAATCCCCTATTCTTACACCATTCTTCCTCAGAAATTTCCCTATTTTTCCAGGGAAAATTCACCATTTTTGGGGAATCCCCCACCCCGATGATTGTTCCAGGGACGGATGGACAGCGTCTTCAACGTGGCGGCATTGCGCGTTTGCACCTCGAGCGCGCGGCTTGCGCCGCTTGCGCTTGCGCGCCCGGCGGTCCTTGGAAGGCCAGGGAAACAGGGATGGAAGTGAAGTCTGTCTATAATTGCCATCCATAATATACAAATAGAATGGAACCATTATAGGTACTATATAGATGGATGTACATATATGGAATTGCCTATTATTTGTATGTACCTATATATTATATGGACAGTATAATCTATAAGCGAAATATATATATAATTATAATTATATATAATTATATATATATAATTATATATATATATATTATGTGTGTGTGTTTTGTCCATATAGGTTTACGCGGCTTATTTATAATTTATATGGGTATTCTGGTAATCTATACGGCTATAGTTATCTAGTTGATCGATTTATCTATTTGATAGTCTATAAGTTTATCTATAATTATCTATCATTAGCTGATCTATGTATTGTCTATAGTTTATCTAAATGATATCTATCTATTTGTTTGCTGATCTATTGTTAGCTTGTCTATATGATTTTCTATAGTTATCTATTTATCTATACTATTATTATGTATTATCACATCTATGAATCTCTAGTTATCTTTACATGTACCTATCGTTGTCAATATGTTTATCTATCCAGTTTTCCACTTGTCCACTTGTCCACTTTTGCACCCATCCACCCATCCACCTATGCATCTACCTATCCATCTCCCTATCTATCTGCCTACCTATCTACCTATCTATCTGTCTATCTATCTGTCTGTCTGTCTATCTATCCATCTATCTATCCATCTATCTAGTCGTTCCATTGTCTTGTAAATTGAACCGATAATACGCGATGTTTTTATACGTCAAACAATTTGATCACTGGAGATAATTCTAAATACGTAGATGTGGACTGAAGCATTTTAGTATCATTGGAGTAGAGTCTGCAGTTTGCCGACTGTAAAACACAAACCAGGGAGACCAATTTCAATGAACAATCTGAATTGAGTCAGTTCATCTTTTTGTATACTGAATAGTTGATTTTGAAATGCTGTACTTTAACATCCTTGAAGCGACAGCAGTGGCAATATGTATGCACTGAGAAAAAATCTGATTGGTTCATAAACCAATCATATTAACAGAATACATCTTGTGACACATCCGTCAAACCTTGCAATTAGCATTCAAGTCCTTGATCAACAACCAGTAGGAGTTGTGGTTGGCTTCATATGAATCCTTACAGGTCTAAAAAGGCTGGAAACCCAAAGAACCCCCGAGGGTTTCTTTGCAGTTGTGGCAACTAGGTTGCGTGCAATTTCGCAGTTTTCCAATCAGTTTTGCAGAGATCTACTGGTTGTGTGGTTGCAAACCATCCTTTTCAAAATATCGGCAAATCGAATCGTATCATGGCAAATCAGATAGGACAGTCAATAAAAGATTTGAAGAGAAACATTGGCTAATTGGTGGTTTCAACCCCCCTGAAAAATATTAGTCAGATTGGATCATCATCCCAACTATTGGGGAAAATAAAATTCATTTTCCAAACCACCAACCAGAATTCTATAAATCTCCATTGTTGCTGGTTAAATCACCATTTTCCTATGGTTTTCCTATGTTTTTCCTATGGTTTTGAGGTTGAGAGCTTATCAAAACCGATCCATTTCCAAGGTCTGAATAGCTGGCAACATAAAAGAAACAGAATGGAACTCATTGGCCAAAAAAACGCTTGCAGTTGTGGTTGAGCCCTACCCCTCTGAAAAATGATGGAGTTCGTCAGTTGGGATGATGAAATTCCCAACTGAATGTTAGAATCACTATTTTTTTATGAGTAAATCCACTATAAATGGGCCATGTTCAATAGCAAACTGTTAGTTTAAAAAATGTTCCAAAGCACCAGCCAGCAGCAACTATGATTTCATGAACATTGCTAGTTGCCAAAAATCCCACATGTGGCCGAAAACATGCCAAAAACATGTGGATGTTCGTAAACAACAACGATCCAAGACCATCTAAGTCATGTCAACCGCTGAGAACCCAAACAGGTCTCCTCAAGTTTCAAAGGAGTCCACTCAGTAAACCTCAAATCGGATTTCGCTCTCTGATTATTTAATAGTATTTAATATATAGTAGCTATGGAAAATAACCCATTTACACATGATTTCTGATGATTTACCTATTAAAAAATCATGATTTTCCACAGCTACGTTAAATTACCAGCGGGAAAATCTCGAGTGTAAATCGTTCATGCCATGCTTTGAATTTGTTCAACATTCCCAGCCATGGATGCAGCCAAGAATCTGAAAAAACCTAGAGAACATCGGAACCGAAAGCCTGTATCTCCGCCGCCGTCACAAGTACTTGAGCCAAAGTTTGGCTTCCGTGCAGCAATGGCCGAATGGAATTGGTTAGTTGAGTACCTTGGAAACATTCCATAGGGGTGGAGTTATACTCCCAAAGAGATAGAAAAGCTGGAAACCTAGAAGTGATTGGTTAAACAAAAACAGGGTTTCCTGGGAAGAAAATACGACTACAGGAAATCAATCCATGTTTCATACTGCAAAACAAAATAGACTTTGAATGACTTGGATATGTGAAATGTCCCACTCATTGATCATTTGATCTAAGGCAATGCGTGTTCAGCATGGATGTCACCATTGTGCACCTTGAGTAAACATCTGGCAGTTGGGTATTTCACCCATATCACAATGTGTCAAATAGTATCTTGAAGCGTCTTACCCTTACTAGTACTGAATCATCATTTGTTTGGTTGCATTTGCAGTTCTGCTAAGTTATAGTACAATTCAAACACATATTAATGTTTGGAAATCATCTCATGTGCCAAGTGAATCTACATTTTCTAGTACTTCAATTGGCACATGTTTGTTGATCTCAAGTCTTAATTAAGTCCCCATGTTTGTGGATGAATCCCACTGTTTTGTCCAACAAATCCTGGTGAAATCTGCTGCTTTTCTGCTGGTCGAAATGACGATGTCTGTGTATCGGTTATAAATCCACTTTAGTTCACTGCCCCTTTTGTCTTGGTGAACTCTCCATTTTCTCTCATAAGAAATATATAGAAATATGATGACTGGTTGGTGGTTTTAACCATCTTGAAAAATATGAAAGTCAATGGGAAGGATCATCCCATATATGAAATGGAAAATAAAATTCATGTTCCAAACCACCAACCAGAAAATCATGCTTAAAATCTTCACTTTCGGTGAACTTTTCATAATTTTTCCAGATGTTTCCATGTGTTTTCTTGGCATTTGACCTTGACCTCACCATTTTTTCGCCACAGCACCGCTGCGACTTCCCGCAACCAGCGCGCACCTCCAAGCCGTCTTTGTGAAGGTCCGGCGTGGACACGGCCGGGCAACTGACGGGAGGATCGTGGGAAACTCGTGGGATTTTTGAAAGGTCAATCACAATTTTTAATGGGTAAATGATGGGTAAATGATGGTAAATCAACTATGTATTTCGACTGGGCCATTTTCACTAGCAAACTGTTAGTTTACCAGTAGGTATGGCTCACAATTCACCATTTCAGGCAGCCTATGAATATTATTCATGTATCAACTGAGGCAGCCAAGTAAAAACATGAATATACCAACCATCTTATTATGGCGGGACCCAATTTTTGACGGATGCCCATATTGAGAAACAGATTGGGGCCGAATGATATTACGTAATATTGGGATATTGATCAAATCTATATTAGTCCCCGAATCTGCCATATTATAGGATGATTATCCTTATCGGAAAAGAGATTGGGGGCTAGTAGATTACAATAGGGTTTATGGTGGTTAAAACTTTTTAACTTATAACTGGGGCAGGCCGTACATAATCACACTGTAACTATGGGCATTTTCTAAGATCATCCAAATGTGTTTTTGTTATTTTGTGTTCATATTTACGCTTAAAAGTGAGGTTTACACCCAGCATCCATATTTTGATGCGATAAATACAATAAACATCAATAAACAATATGTCGAACCATCATATGGAAAGTGAGGTTTCACATGGTTTTTGTGTTTGATCCATGGTCTTATCACGTGCTTGAGGAAACCCTTGGCCACGTGGCCCCCATTTTTCCAGGAAAAAAAGGGGGGGGATCATGGAGATCTAAGCAGCAAAATTCAGATGTTTTGTTGGAAAATAAGAGGGGATCAAACCATTGTATAGGTATTATTACGTAACGCTATATACATATACATATATATATACATATATATATACATATACATATATATATACATATATATATATATAAATAAATATAAATATCAAACATATACCATTGTTTTTTTAAGGATATGCTGACATATCTTCTTCAGAACTGGAGGAAATCAAACCAACATTATCTGGAAAGGCCACTGGATAGATGCCTATTCTTTGAACCTCAACAATGGGGGTTGTCACTGAGTGTACCATATTGCATTAGTTTATGCCTCACAGGAGATAGTATGCTTCTGATTCTGATGCAAGACAGCTGGTGGATGCCTGATGCCAGTGATCGAGATGGTTCAAATACAATTATGTCATTATGCGTGTGTGTATATATATATAGTATATATATATAAATAAATACCTATATATATATAAGGTGAATCAAGTCGTGTAGGCATGACACAGCCTATAGATTGAAATTCAGGGCCTAGCCTCGAAAGTATAATCAATGTGTTCTTTACATAGCCGCCTAAAGTGATTTCACAATAACCATCTCTGTACCTCAGAGCACTAAAGATCTCAAGCAAGATGCACAAGATGCATCAGCATGATGTCATCTGTAATTAGTTGTCGGTGTTCGAAAAGCTTGGTTGTAACTTGCTGATGAAAACGTCACATGCAGCAGACACGTATCTGGAGCAGCTTTCTCAATAGATTCGCTGACCCACGCGAGCTCACCACAGGCATCCTCCAGATCTTTCTGCGGCACCCGGAGCACCCAGGAGCACAGAGCACGGAAGGTGGGGTGGTCACCCACGATCAAAACCGTCGTTTCAATTGATGGTTACCTCATTTATTTTTTTCCCAACCAAAGAAGACATATGGAATTAAATGCGGAGGAGACATTTTGGGAGTTGAACTATTCCAAATAATTCCATATATAATTTGGATATTAACTATATGATATGATTATAAGTTTTATTCTTATATATTTGTTGTTTATAGTTGTTTGCGGGAATAAGTAATAGCTGAATATGTTTTGGGATGAACATCGATTTATCCGTTACTCAATGTTACTATGTGGGATAGTGAATATACCCCAGCTATTTTTCAGCTGAATGTGTTAGTGAATGATTGAATATGTGAATATGTTCATACTATGTTAGGTATATTCAATATTTATTACATATTACCCTCTGGTCAACTAACAGTTTGCTATGGCACATCACCATGCTATATAAACGGAAAATCAACTATGAAAGGACCATCTCCTATAGCTATGTTAAATTACTAGGGTAAAACTATTTCAACATAGCTAGTGGAGATGAATACCCATTACCCCTATCATAATCTGTTTTGGTCTTAAGACCAAAATATGTTTCCCCAACAATGGGATTATTTATAGGATTATAATATCATTATTTGACCAACCATTATACCAACTTTAAACCTATTCTTAACTGGTTGGTGGTTGAGCCCTACCCCTCTGAAAAATGATGGAGTTCGTCAGTTGGGATTATGAAATTCCCAATATATGGAAAACTAATCCATTCATGTTCCAAACCACCAACCAGTGACTAATATTCCATTACCAGAGGGTTAATCACCATTAAGTCACCATTAATATCCCTATTAAATCACCATATATCATATAATATCATATATAATCATTAAAAACAAAATTGGAGGATCATTCCACTTAGTAACTGGTTAATAAGCCAATATATGGAGAATATATCAACCAACCAGTTAACAGTTGTTTTTGGGATGAACATGAATATTGTCCATGGGTCCAGGTAGCCCGCCTGGGAACCATGGGAACCAGTCCGGCAGCCCAGGCAGGCGGTTCCTGTTTGGGTTCAACTCGCAAGCGGAACGGAGACCCGAGTTAATGTTTTGATAATGATATTCATTTATTATCATGACCTTATTATAGATATTATAGTCACTCCAAAACATATAGTATATTTACCTATGATATTCCTCGAAAATGATGTTTTGGACGTAAAAACTTGGGTATATTTGAGAAATTGTCTACCCATTTTGAATGGTCAAGAACTACTTTTTTGGTCACATCCTAAAGCCTGGGATTTCTTCAGGGGACTTCGCCTCGAAAAAAACATGGGAGTAGTGTTTCTTACCCTCTGGTAAACTAACATAACTATGGGAAATCACAATTTTTAATGGGAAAACTCACTATAAATTGCCATTTTCAATATCTATGTTAAATTATCAGAGGGTGATGTTTCTTATCCTGGTCTTTCGGTGATGAATAGAATATAACCTACGCCTTCTTCGAGGCCACTGCATGAGGTACCCTATGCTTTGCGTGCAAGGTCATGCTAAGACCCTACCAATGGCGGAACTGGGAGTTTTTCTTGGCTGTTCATGACGATTTCATCCGATTTACAAAGGTGTGTGGCTTTTTGAAATGGAAGAACCCTTCAAAGAATACACTAGGAACATGTAATAAGTATGACTAGTCAAATCACACATATCTAACCGCTGCATATGACTAGTCAATCATCCCGTTGTGTCCAGTTCATCCCCATGATTTCCCACACCTGTCATCAAAAATCCATATGGGGATGGGTCAAAACTTCTTTTTACCCTCTGGTAATTTAACATAGATATTGAAAATGACAATTTATAGTGAGTTTTCCCATTAAAAAAATGTGATTTCCCATAGTTATGTTATGTTAGTTTACCAAAGGGTATCATATTTTGGGGAACATCCATAATTCCAAGCTATTTTAGGGTGGGTTGCTGTTCAGTTTTGACTCATATCCACACAATATCTATGGCAATGGCATAGGAACCTCCATTGATCTGCCAGTCGTCTTTTCTGGTTGATGTTCATCCATTCAACTGTTGATTGCCCCCCACTATGAAATCCAATTGTTTTCGGGTCTGTTTCAACCAACACAAAACCAGGGATCCGATGTCAATCATCAGTGGCTACATCCAAAGTTTAGTGGTTACCCTAAACGTTAAACTAACATAGATGTGGTTTTCACTATCATGGCAAAACCTGAAAACCACATTGTTATCTTAAAAACCATGTAGTTTCCATAGATGTGGTTCATCTTCTCTAAACTAAATGGAAACTTATCTGGTTTATCCATACATGTAGTTTCCATATTGGTGGTAAAACCATGTAGCTTCCATATATGTGGTTTCTGTTATCTTACATATGT